ATAATTTTATGGGTCTTTTTCTTTTTTAACGACGCTATGGTAATTTACTTAAATATCGCGTACTTTTGAAAACAAACTGTTTGTTATAAAAGTTTGTGATAAAAGTATTAATATATTGAAACAGTTTGCATCACGAGAAGAAGTGTTTTTACAAGAAACGAAACAGTTTGTATCACGCGAAGAAGTGGTTTTACGAGAAACGAAACAGTTAGTATCATGCGAAGAAGTGGATGAAAGATTTATTTTAGTTAAAATAGTCAACACAAACAAATCGTACGCTGCTTAAAAATGTTTTTTATACAATTTATTTTACAGACGTGAGGCAGACGTAGTTTTTTGGAGTTTATTTTTAGAAACATATATATATATATATATATATATATATATATATATATATATATATATATATATATATATGTGTGTGTGTGTGTGTGTATATCACTTTTGTGATATATAGCTTTTAACCATCGAGAATGCCAACCATAATATGGTTTTAACCATCGAGAACGCCAAACACAATATGTTGTATTGAATATACAATATTTACAATATTATTTGTAAAAACAATGTTTAATAAAACTTTTATTAAACACCGCCTCTTTATCTGGATTTCGGCCCCACCCGGATTTCGCTTACCAATAAAAAACAACATAAATTATTGTAAATAATATATTACAATAATTTATATTATTTACAATAAAAATTAAACAATTGTATAAACACATACATATTTTTTGGAAAGAAGAAAAGCTAATCTTGATTTTTTAAAGACTTTTAAGTATGGTTTCTATCTTTTTTATGGGATATTTTGCTCCTGAATATTCGGTTGATGTTCTCTTATGAATTTGTGGTTGAAGAAATGTCCGCTTTTATTTTTATTTAAATTTTTACTATTTAGATTGTTTCATGCACATGCCAAATTTCAATGAAAAATAATAATAAGCAATTAGTTTAATTAGCGTTGGACTTTAGGTACCTAATTTCGGTTTTTCTGTTGTTGTTTTTTTTTGATAAGCGAAATCCGGGTGGGGCCGAAATCTAGATAAAGGGGCGATGTTTAATAAAAGTTTTATAAAACATTGTTTTTACAAATTAAATATATGTATATATATTTTTTATATTTATAAAATTGGTAAATGTTGTTCAAAGTAAATTTATTTATTTAGGTTAGTTTTCTTGGTGACACTGGTAGTGTCAATATTAAAGATATGACAAGGAGAGTATTAACAGCTTTGATAACTAATGTTTTAGCTAGTGAATTTAATTTCATGGAACATGGGGAAAAACATGCCTTTTTAGTCCTTATGATAAGAAAAATTGTCAATGGCAATTATGCAACCTACATTTTTTACATTTTTTATGCAATTTCAAGAAATGCCTAATGCATAATTTTTTAATGCATAACTTATAATTTTTTTTACTATTCTTTATAAATTTAAATATATGCATGATGCCTTAATTTCTGTTTCAGCCTCCAAAACTTTATAGACCTTCCTACGCCAATATATAGATGTATTAAAATTTTAGATAAAATGACTGTTTTATATTGATATAATGTTTTATATTGCTATGACTGTTTTATATTGATTGCTTGTTTAACCATTTTTTGATAGTTATGGCGAAAAACTATACTTGTTAAAATTATCAAGGCACTTAATGAAATTCATATATAATTTTAATTTTTTCTTTTGTTTCATTAGATGCAGTTCGACTCAATCCATTGACAAAAAAATAGTATTTAATAGTATTTGAACAAGCCAACCTCAGGTCCCCCTGTTCCACCAAAGAGAGCTGTAAAGACATTGCTCAGAATGACCTCCAGAACATGGTGGCGGCAACCAATATTTACAAGATCACGACCAACTGCTTTCTCGATGAGAACACAAGCTCTTTTGTGGATACCTGTGTTGGACGAGGTTGTGTCAAAGACTAAACTCTGAAGTTTGTCTCGAATTTTCCAATCATCCAAGATCTCCATTTGTTTCCAATCTTGACGAGGAGAGCTGCTTAGATGCTTTCCCAATGAGCCATACCTCTGCAGAGCTTCTTGTAGTAACTGCCATAAGTGGTGTAATATATATTTTTATTATTTATTAATTACCTGCAGAAGTTTAAGTTGAAATGATTCTTTGTTCTTCAACTATTTAATTTTATATAATCAATATTTAGTACTTTATATTATTAACAGAAATGAAAAAACATTACTGAAAAACATAATTTGTTTTGAAATATTGCAGACATGTGCTTAATACAAGATGGTCACTTTATCATGTGACAATTGATAAAAGATATTAGATATATAAATGAATTTTTATAGCATATTCTTTTTGAAAACTATTTAATTTAATAATAATTTATTTGTAATTCATTATATTAACTATATAATAAATATATATATAAGTTATAATACATAAGTATAAGAATATTTGCTACCAGAAATAAAAAAATAATCCTTATAAAATTTTTATTGAAATACTGCAGACATGTGCTTATTACAAGATGGCCGCCAAATCATGTGACAATAGACAACTAAAAGTTATTAGATATATAAATGAATTTATATAGCATCTGCTTTTCAGCAAGCATTAATTTATTTACCACAATGTTGAGATAGATGTTCAATTATGCAAAACTTACACAAAAATTCGTAAAAATCGAGTACCGTCAAAAAAATGTTGAAATCATAGCGACCCCTAAAACTGTTCAGATTAGTCCAATTTTTTGTATGGTTATTCCCTAAGCATAGTGGAACAAAGTTAGGCTTGTGGAGAGAATCTAGACACACTTTGAATTTTCACCATACAAATCTGGACCACCCTAATACATATACATATATATATATACATATATATATATATATATATATATATATATATATATATATATATATATATATATATATATATATATATATATATATATATATATATATATATATATATATATATATATATATATATATATATATATATATATATATATATATATATATATATATATATATATATATACAGGCATTCTATTTACCTGATTTAAATTGTTAGTGGCATTAATTTTTAAATTCGATATTATATTTATAGTGAAAACTTAAATTTTTTAACTTTTTTATCACTGTGGTCAAAAAGTCAAAATTTATAGCAACCCCTAAATATTATCCGATTTGCTTCAAATTTGGCTACAATGTTGCAAATATTAATAGGAACAAAGGCAGCCTTGTGGAGAAATGAATTTCAATAATTTATAATTTTGGACCACCCTAATATGTATATATATATATATATATATATATATATATATATATATATATGTATATGTATATATATATATATATATATATATATATATATATATATATATATATATATATATATATATAAATATATATAAATATATATAAATATATATAAAAGAATGCTTGAGGTATATTAGTCAGAACTACTCATATCAAGCCTGATATGAGTAGTTCTGACTAATAACTTGACAACAATAAAGAGGTTTGATATTGTAACTCTAATAACAGTTGATATTGTTTAACAGCTGATATTGTAACTTTAAAAAAGAATTTTTTTTTTGTAAGTTGCTGCTATCGACCACCCTGTGGTCAAATTGAAAACTTCAATATATTTTCAAATGATGTTTTAAATAAAAACATACATGAAAAGAAATTATATAACTTAATAGGTGAAAGTACTTTGGACTGTTTTTAATACCATGCTAATTATAAAATAAAAAAGTTTTAACAATGTATTTGACCATGGCGCATTTTCTATGATTAACAAACCAACAATCTCATTAGACATTATAATAACAACCAATATTTTTTAATAAATCCCTTTAAAAGGTATAATTAAAAGTGACCATCTCTGACCACTTTCCTATTTTTTTCTCAATTAATATTGCTGCAGTAAAAATCTCCACAGAAGTAACGTTTAAAAAACCTTTTTATTCTACAGTGAATTTAAAATCAAAGAACAATTAGTTTTTTCATCAAAAAGTATGACATATTTGGTATGTATGGAGAAATTATTTTAACCACTATTATAATCTGGTAAAAGTAATGCGACTATAAGAAATCGTCAAGCGTTGTTTTATTTAGAAAAAATGTAGTTTTCAACATAAATACCTTGGGGCTTGGTTATAGATAAGTCTATGGATTTGATTTTTTATTAAAAACACGTGATGGTATTTGCTTTCAATAAATCTAACTTGACATTTGTAATCAGATATTATTTGGGAAATTTATCCATGAAAAACCATTTTTTTTAATCAAAATTTAAGTTATTATTTTCAATACCACACCTAAATGAGTATGTTTAACAATAATGTCACGTTAGATTAAGGCAAACGATGGTAGTGTTAACTTTTTTACAAAAGTCGTTTTTGCATAAATCATGACTTTTAGCCCCATTCAAAAAACTGTTTTCAGTATTTAGTATCATTTTTTGAAATACTCGGCCTTATTCAGTCATTTTGAAATAATAATTAATTCCACTCAGAATGGGTAAACAATTAAAAAATAGAGGCAGTAAACTTTATAAACAAATTACTTTCGTTTTCAAACTCGTTTCGTTTTGATATCACTTTAATTGACATTTGGTTTCTTTTATTTTTATAACAATAATTTAAAAGTAACATAAGTTATTGTTACAAAAAACAATTATATCTTTGAACACTAAGTCGATACAAATAGCTATTATGCCTTCATCAATGTATTGAGATAAATACTTTTTGTTGTTAGCACAGCGTAAAATGAAACATATATTACATAATAAATATATATTACATGGGCGGATCTTAGATTTTATATAGGTATAGCTAAAATTTGTAGAATTACGTCATAATTGCAACTATTTAATAAGTCGGTTAGTCCACGTCAAAAAGACGTCCGATAATTACGTCATGTAGACGCTACCAGACAGTTTTTTTATCTGAGCATAGTCATAAAAAGTATTTATTCTTATGACTATGATCTGAGCGTCTTTAATTCACTTTTTGCACACATATATTTTAAATTTATTTTTAATGGATTTTAGTAAAATATTTAATAGTAAAATATAAAATTTTCCTTGGCTATTCTGTTCGTAATGTAGACATAATGTCTAACTTACTTAACGAAGTGCACCAACTAGAAGGTAAGCCATTGGACTTTGCACTCCATATGTAAGTTGTAATGTTGCCTAAAGTTAGCTCTCCATTTCTGGATTTTTTCCTTTATATTTTTGTTACTAATAGAACAAATGCAACTACTACTGCATTAACAATATGATATCGTAATTTATTCAAAATATATTCACTTTGAAGTTGTATACTACTATATAATAAATATATATTAAAAAAAAAAAAGATTTGAACAGTCTCACTATCTATAGGATCCTCAGGAAGCTAATTTATTACATCTTTATTTTTTATGGTTATCAAGTACTCTTTTTGTAGTATACTCTAACGAAGTTAACACAAATATTTAAATTTTTTATTTAGTGGTTTATATTATTTAGTTTAAAACAATTTTTAAAATAATTAACGTTTTAGATGTCAAGGATTATGAAATATACACAAAATAGAAAATAAATTAATTTATTAAACATTTATAACAAATAAAAAATAAAATTCTGTAAGAGAAAATTAAACAAAAAAATGATTGTAAATATAAGAGATATTCAATTATTTTATTCACATATAAATATAATTATTATTCAATCATAGCCAATTATTTAAGACTTAAATAGCAACTTTAAACATCTCTCTCCAGAAGCTGAAAAAATTTTGTTAACCCCCGTCTTTATTAAGAACCATTTTGGTATAAATTGACATTAAAGCTAGATTATTCAATGACATTTTTAACACTCAACTTGGGGAAATCAGTTATTATCACTTTTGTTTTAAAAATTACTAGATGGTGGTTTTGATTGATCTTTCTAAAGAGGCTTCCATAATCCAACTCTGCATGAATAAAGGTTGAATGCAGAGTTGGAGTGATAGATTTCTAGAAATTCCTGAAAATAGATTTGCAAATCTTAGTTAGTTTTCAGGTAACTTAACATGACAGTTGGAACTGCAAACATCCTATATAAACCAAATCTTATATAATTAATAAGCTCATTAATAAGATAGTCCAGTAGAATTAAAGTAATAGAAAGCTTAAAATAATCAGATGATGAGTGATTTTCATGATTGATATGTTTTCCACATTTTCTAGTTTTTTGTTTTCTTTTACATTTAAAGTCATAGCTAATTCAAAAGCAATATTAGACCAGTTGTAGCAATATAAATCAATACCAAATTTAATCTCTTGAAGCGTGTTTTTTTTAATTATCAATTTCAAGATTCTGAAATTTGAGACATGTCGTATTGCTTATCTTGGAGTCTAATTACAATCTAAAAAATTTAGTTAAAACTAAAGTTACATTGAAATAAAATTCAAACATCAACTATGAATAGACTTTAGCTTTAAAAAAAATGCCTAGACTAACCTGTTTCTGAACCCAACAAGTAAAACAGATATTGATTAGCTTTTCTTTACCAACAGAAAGATAATTATTTAAACATGCATGTAATTTTCGACTAAAGGCACATTTAAATAATTAAGGACAGTCAATAAACCTTAAGAAATCTTTACAAGTATTATAGTTATTGCCTATACTTATAACGATAGACTACTGTTTAAGATTGGCACAATCAGATGCTTTATCAGCTAAAATTGAATAGTGTTTACTTTTATTGATTTCAGAAATAAGATAGAGTCACCTGCATAAATTCCAAAATTAAGTAGTTTGAAAATATTTCCTTCAACTCTTTCTTGAGGACTCTCTTATATTATAGTCTCCAATATTGTATTATATTTGATTCTAATTAACAATAGAATCAACTTATAAAATCCTCTTTAATTAAAGCTTCAATTTGAAGATTAAATTTTTTTTTTGAAGAAATAAAAATGTAATATTTTAATTATTTACATTTATAGCAAAAAACAATAAAAATTATTTATATCCCAGCAAACACAAGACGTCTTTAAGACCGTCTTACTTAGGTCTTTAAATGGTCTTGTCTTAGAAAGACGTTTAATACCCAGTTTTTTCAATCCTTTTTTTGGCGCTTATCTAAAATCTCTTATATACATCTTAAAGACATCTTTAAAAAGACAAGAAAATATTTGGTTGGTTTCGTATGACGTCTTTAGTGCGTCAATCTTTTACTTTCGGTATAATATTTTAATAGCCCTTTTTAAAATGTCTTAAACACGTCTTCAGTAAGACTGCATTGGCGTGATAATATTTCGTGTCTCATATAAACTTAATAAGTTTTCATATAAAGTTTAAAAGTTTTCTTTGACTTACGTTTGATTTCTAAACTTTGACTTATATATATTTTTTAACATTATTTATGGAAACTGAAAATCGAATGAAGCATCGTCGCCTGAATAAAAGTATGTTGGATTTTATAATGACACAAGATGAAGTTATCGATATTAGCACTAATATGAATCGTGAACTTAATGCTTCTTATGAGCATGAAACACCTTGTGAAGCCCCTGCTAGTGAATCTTATCATGTTAATTATATATATATATATATATATATATATATATATATATATATATATATATATATATATATATATATATATATATATATATATATATATATATATATATATATCTGAATAAATATATAAGTACTATTAAATAACTCTTTAGAATTAATATATGATGTACAACAGCAGCAGAGGAGGAGGATGAAATAGATAATTGTTTTACAAGTTCCAAAGGCGCATTTAAAGTCAAAAGTAATGTTTATGGTATAATTAAAAACTTGCTTACAATTTATTTTTAATATCAAATGTAAATACAATAACAAAAATTAATTATATAGATATTATATTTTAGAGTTACCAAATTTTCCGTTGCCTCCACCAGTTTTGCAATCCATACCAACAAAATCATTAAAGAGATCATTTGATTTTAATTTGTCACCTGGATTAATTATTTTAAAATAATCAAATATTTGTTCTGGTATCTAATAATTATTAAATTATTAAAATTTAGAATTAATTCAATTTGCAACGCCTTCAATCTAAAATATTTCTGGATTCTTATTTTTAGCTTTGCCTGACTCTTTACCTTTACACACAGAGGAACAATCAACTTCGTATTCTGAGTCACTGTGTTAGTATTATTTTTAAATTTTATAATTAAAGTTTTTGTTTATTAAGGTTGAAATATTATTTTGTTGTTAATTTTAGCTTTGCCTAACTTCTTTTTACCTTCAAAATCAACTGAAAAGGAACAATCAAAATTTTTTTACAGGTACACTGTCTTTGATTATTATTTTACCTTGTAGTACCAATTAAAGTGCGAAGTTTGTTTAAACTTGTCATGTTAACAGGCATGTGTTTTTTATATAGTTCCCACATTTATTTGTATTGTTTGAATAGATTCCTGGAATTTATTGATTTATTTGTGTGTTTATTTGTAGATTTTTTCATAATGGATAGTATGGAAGGAAAGGGGTGTGCAGTTATAGCATTATTAGACGGGAAGAGAAAACCGTATCAGATATATATCAGTATCACTAGATCTTAATCCATTGGATTATGCAATCTGGTCTAAACTGGAGGCGAAGGTGTGCTGCAAACCTCACACTTCCGTTGATGCCCTCAAGCCATCACTTCTCAGAGAATGGGATGCTTTATCCATGGATACCGTGCGTAAATCAATTGAGGAATGGCGTCCAAGACTGGAGGCGTGCATACGGGCAAAAGGGGGTTATTTCGAGGACTCTCTTTATTAATGTGTACTTTAGCATTTTAACTAAAATATAACATGCATATAATATGTATATATTACATTTATATATATATATATATATATATATATATATATATATATATATATATATATATATATATATATATATATATATATATATATATATATATATATATATATATATATATATATATATATATATATATATATATATATATATATATATATATATATATATATATATATATATATATATATATATATATATATATATAATTATATTTAGATGAATAAAAACAACTGATTAGCGGGACTTAAAGTTTCATGCCCAAAGGCAATCATCAGCCGTTAATACAAACAAAAAACGTAAACAAACCGTTACAAAAACGTAAAAATTACTGTAGAATGACATCTGACGTTATAAACAAATCTACGTAAAAAACAAATCAAAAAACAAAAAAACAAAAAGCCGTTATAGTTTATTAGTCCCCTGTGTCAAATAAAGATAATAGGAATTTTTTTGAATGCCGACACTGAGATACGATTTCGTTTTTTTTATTCAGTAGATTTTTTCCATTATGCGATAAAATTACATATTTTTCGTAGAGACAAAGGTGGCATATTTTTGTTGCTAGATTGTAAGGTTTACAACGTTTGACAATTTTCCATTCTATAATGGGCTTTATGTTTTGGTCTTTTAAACTCCATATTTCCTTAGATAGTTCTGTGTCATTTCTATATTTAACTGATGCAAATGATTTGAGATGGTTTGCGTATCTTAGTTTAAATGGTGTATTACTAATGCCAAAATATACTTTTTTATTACGATCATGATGACTGGAACTTACGGTTGCTTGATAGACAATATTGTTAGATAAACATTGATTGTTCAAAGGGCAAAATGCTTTATCTACGCAGTTACATTGGTTGGTTTTAATTGATTTTTGTTGTGTAAAATTTTGGAATTATGCGAATTTATGATAGATTTTAGGTTAGGCATGCAACTGTAGCTAATCTTAATAGAATTTCGGTTGAATATTTTATGTAGCTTGTGACCGGCTGGAAAATGTAAGTCAATAAGGGCTAGAAAACGGTTTCCTATTTTTGTTTTGACGTTTAAGCTGAACGGAGGGTTATACCAAATAATATTACGTTTACGTTGCTTTTTTTGTTGATTTTGACTTGAGATTATTTGTGGTTGGTAGGTAAGGTTCGATTTGTATCCCGATTTATTTAAAGCCTCTTCATACGGTGGAATAGCCTTTTTAAAGAAATTTTCATTAATTGACATGGAAGATAATCTTTGTTCGATATTGCGAGGGATTGCTTTTATTATGCTTGGAGGGTGGTTAGAATTAGAGTGAATGTACCTTATTTGATTATCAGGTTTAAAATATGGTTGAAACGTACCGTTACTTAGATTTAACGTAACATCGAGGTAGTTAACAATTTTTAAATTAGATTGAATGGTGATTTGAAGATCGTTTTTTTTAAAAATCAGTGTTATGTGCTTTTTGATTTTTTTCATTTGCTGACCGTTTTTGTTCTTGAATACAGCAAGACCGTCGTCACGATATAAGCCGAAATCTTCTTTATTATAACGTTGTGAAATTTGATACAGCATGAAAATACCTATTAATTCGCAAACTTCAGCACCATCAAATGCCCCCATTGTTACATCGAACAACCCACCTCTTTTTTTAATCCATGCTTCATCGTTGTTGAAGATAAGAGATTTTCTTGCATGCTTTATTAATGCTTTGTCTTCGCTTTTGATAACGATATGATGGTCAGCAAAATTCATAGCATTGTTGAGAGTGCTTTCCTTTATGGATATATATATATATATATATATATATATATATATATATATATATATATATATATATATATATATATATATATAATTTAGAATACCAGCATATGATGTTCAAGATTGTATCAAAAATTCTTGAAAACTAATCTATTATTGCTGTAAATAAACAACCCCATAGTAATTTGGCAGTTAAGCAGTTAGAGACTATAGCAGAATACAAAGATTTTGTCAAATATTTAGAGGATGATTCAGTTCGCCTTGATTTGGTAAATACTTTGTCTTTACATTTTGAAAATATTTACATATTGAAAACCTTGTAAATTTAAATTAATTATTTTAAATAATTTTGTTATTTTGGTTCTGATTTTTTTATTTAGGTTAAACAACTGAGTTTTTTAGGCGCAGAAGATTATAAACAGCTGACAATATTGGTTATGAATAGGTTTTTCTAATTTTTATATGAGCAATAATATTTTTTATTTTTCTGTTGTAAATATATATTTTAAGTATAGTAGTTAATGCAACCAATAATTACATTGGGATGGTAAATTGCTTATTTTTCATAAATTGTATTACTTATTCCTTATGTTATATAGATTATTTGCAAATACCCTATTGGCACAGTTTAATATAAAAGGTTCTGGTAGAAAAATTGGTTTATTATCAACGAAGCTATATGATGTAATAAAAAATGAAATAAAAAATAGTTTTAATATAATAAAAATTTTTATCATTTAGTATTTGATTAAAAATGTATGTTAAGTTAAAATTATTTTTAAGATTTTTGATAGTCAAAATTTTTTATTTTTTTCCAGTTATCTACCTCCCCAAAGCCCGAGGGAGCTACCTTATTGACAACTACCTTATTGATAACGACGTTTTCAGAAAAAGAAAAAAAAAAAAAAAATGATGAAAAAAAAAGATTATTTTCTTCTCCCAAAACTTTAGTTGATGAAGCGGCTCTTCCCTGCGGCAGCAGGCTATTAGATAGTCGATGCATGTACTGAAGCCCTGGTAGCAGGGTATTTCATTGTGACGTCAGACATTTAAACACGCATTCATAGTTATATATATATATATATATATATATATATATATATATATATATATATATATATATATATATATATATATATATATATATATATATATGTATATATATATATATATATATATATATATATATATATATATATATATATATATATACACAAAAATTTAAATACACATATGTATATATACATACAGCTAATTTCCGATAACTCAAATTAGGGAATCGAAGAAAACAGTTCGACTAAACGAATGTTCGATTTAAGTGGTGTATAACTTACCTTCAAGAGATTAATAATAGATGTTTGAGATAATAAAAGTTAGCTAGTGCTCATATATATATATATATATATATATATATATATATATATATATATATATATATATATATATATATATATATATATATTGGTGGGAGCTGTTCAAAGAAATAAAGTATTCATAGCAATAACACTTCTGTAAATATTTAAAGTTTTAAATTCGCTTGTTTTATATTAGATTCAGTCAAGTGGAACTTTGTTTGCAATTTATTTGCCATTAACCTGTAAAAACAAAATAAAGTTAATCAAGAAAATACGGTAAAAATACACTCAAGTCACATCTTGCACAAACACATCTAGTCCTCAAATATAGAAATATTTGAGGACTAGATGTGTTTGTGCATTCTGCTCATTCTGCGGGCTAAATAAATTAATTGACAAAATGACGACAAAGTTACAATATGACTTTAAAATAAAGCTGTGATATTTGTCCTATTTGTTTGACATCGTCAATTATCAAATCTATTTACAAGCTACTTAAAAGCTATTTGATAACTAATTGAACTCTTGATACCTATAGTAAGTCTTGTCTTTAAGTTTTGGTATTATAAGTTTTATTTTGTAATGTAGTCTTGATATTGTGGTTTATTCAAGAAGCACATAAAAAAGGAAAGAGTTATTAAAAATTGCTAATTACATGCTCAAATTAAAGCTGAGATTTACTTATCAGTTAAACAACCATCGTTGTTATTTACATTTCATTTAAACAGCCATCGTTGTTATTTACTTTTCAGCAATCGTTGTTATTTAACTGATATGTAAGTTATATAGTTGATTGAAAATCCTTGACATCTAGGAAAGAGTTAAGATCCTTGACATCTAGGAAAGAGTCTAAGACGATTTGGGAGTTTTTTCAAATTTATTAATATTGTCAACATATGTTTGCCGAAGTAGTTCATCATTGTATAAACATGTACTACAGAGCCAAGAAGAGATGAAAAAGTTTTTTAATAATCTAAAGTAAATAAAAAGTTAATAATAAAAGCTGAACTATTGAAGATAAGTAATTATTTTTAAATGAAGACCTAATTCCAATTTTTTGTTATTGTTTAGTTAGTATTTCTTTTTTGTTTGTTTTTATTGTCATTTATTCTTTATATTTAATTGAGACTTTATTTCAATTTATTTAAACGACGATCGGTATAACTATAGATTTTAGTAATTACTTTTTTTAATTGAATGTACATGTTTATAAAAATATTTGTTCTTTATATTGTAACGGAGTCATACATAAATATTTGAACAACCTTATTTTAAACTGGTGAAGTTTCATAGGAGGCCAATGCAGGGCCGGCGCGAGTAAGTCACATCTAAGTGTCACATCGAAAAAATAAGGAAGGAGGGGGGATGACGTTTTTTGCCGACTGCTTAGCCGACATTTGCTGAATAACTGTCTAAATTTACCGACAAACTTGTCTAACGGGTCTACATTTGCTGACTGACTTGTTTAAAAGGGTCAAATTTGTCTAAAAGGGTCAAATTTGCCGAATAAATGAACGAAAAAATCATTGATGGGGGGTGTCACACACCCCATAAACCCCTATCGCGCCGGCGTTAGCTCTATGACTATGGTGAATTTTTGTTTCTTTTTTGAGTATAGTTTGATTTTATAAATCCCCATTTTTTATGTAAACGTTTCTTCGAAAGTTTATTTTTTTATTATATGGACATTCAAAATACAATATCTAGACGATGAAGGATGTAATACCTGGCGTTCCAATTGCATAATTTTTTCCAAATTTTATTTTAATTAGTTCGGTCTTGCATTATTGTTTCGCAAAATAACGCCCTTTAGTTGATAATTGCAGGCCACTTTCCTATTAAAAATTGATTTAAATACTTAGTTATACACTTCAAAAGCATTCACAGTTTGCCCAAGTTTTGAATAACCCTGCAAATAAAAAAGAGCATAATTGGGATGTAAGCCTGATTATTTTTTATTTTATGGCACATCATTGGAAAAAAACCACTTGACAATTCCTAAAATGTCTGATATGATATGCTTCCACTTCCACGTTTAACATTTTAGTGTTCAAAGTTGTTAGTTTTCTGGATCATAATAAGTAGAAAAGGTTAAAATTACCGGTAGCCGCTTTTGAATTAACGGAGGTCAAATGCATTATTATCTTTCATTATAACGGAGGTCAAATGCATTATTACATTTCAATGCATTATAACGGAGGTCAAATGCATTATTACATTTCATGAAATAACATCTGGTAATAATATGAAAAACCATATTACTTCACCAGTTTAATATGAAAAGTCGTATTACTTCACCAGTTTTATATGAAAAATAAAGTCGTTGCAATAGCTTGAAATTGAAAATGACATATCTGATTATTTCTTGTATTCCACATGTATACAAAATATAAGTCATCTAATACTTTTACTTTATTTTCATTCTATTCTTATCAGTACTTCCCGAGGTAATGTTTGCATAACTTTACTAGTTATGAATAAACGAGCAATAAAGTCGGGACAACGAGCAATAAAGTTGCGACAAGCTCTTTTTTTTTAAATAACCTCTAGTTTTATACAAAATTTCAATATTTATGAAATTTTTGTACAAATTTAATGTGATATTTCCATGTAATGTGATTATACAGGAATACTACAAAAAACTTTGTAGCACAGTCTCCGTTAATCTCAATTTGGTCAATCAAAATGTCAGATTTATGGGTAGATAATGCTTTTTTTTAAGCGAATGGAAAAAATTATACTTATTAATATTAAAGTTAATTTATTACATTTGAACCTGGTAGAAAAGTTTTATTTGACCATAGTAGAAAAATATAGTTTTATTTGACCATAGTAGAAAAAAGTTTACAAATTTGATTGTTAGAAAAAAACAATTTAATATTGTCCACAATCATAATACAAAGTAGATTTGAGGATTTATTCAAGTAATTTATATAAATCAAGAAGGGATGTGTTCTTAATATAGAACCTTGCGGAACACCACAGGATATATCTAATAAATCCTTTTTGATGAACATTATTAGAGGAAACATATTGTTTTCGGTTTGAAAAATAACTTTTAAACCAGTTTATTACCTTGTTATTTAAGATATTTGACTGCGTATCATAAAACTTCTGTTTCAATAATAGAAAAAAATATATTAACCTTTATTTACGGTGCCTTGAAAAAACTTTAAAAATAAAAAACTTTATTAACTGTTGATAATATTATCAGGATTATCAGGATTAATTTTAATTGCAATTAATTGCAGCAGTTAAATCCAAGCTTTTTTGTTTACATTCAGTTCTGTAGAATTCTAAAACTAAAGAAATTAAAACATTTTATTTTAGGAATAGTCATACATATCATGTTTGTTGGTTAATTTCACTATAGATTTAAATATGCTTTAAAAAAGAAAAAATTTTTTTATCAATTATTTCGAAAAACTTGAAAATTGATAAGTGCGCAGAAATCACTAAATGGGAAAAAAGAATGTTTATGCAAAAAAAAAAAAAAAAACAGTTTGAATAATTTTACCAAAAATCAATAATGGAACATGAACATATTTTTTTAACTTAATTCTTATGGTTTCAAAACACGTTATCTTGAGTTAAACTAAAGAACCATGAATTAATTTTTTCAGATTTATAATTAGTCCTTTTATATGTGAAGATATAACCGGTTTTTAAAAATAGGTTAAAACTAATATTATTAACTAGCAATTTAAAAAGTTAAAACTAAAAATAATGAGTTTTAAAAAGAATTAAAATACAATTTTCAAATGAATATTACGTTATAGGAATATTTTCTGAATATTTTAGAGCAAAAGCCAACCAGAAGAAATCACGGTTTTAAACCTTAATCTTAAAAAATCAACTTGCAAAAAAAAAAAAAAAAAAAACAGTTTGAATAATTTTACCAAAAATCAATAATGGAACATGAACATATTTTTTTAACTTAATTCTTATGGTTTCAAAACACGTTATCTTGAGTTAAACTAAAGAACCATGAATTAATTTTTTCAGATTTATAATTAGTCCTTTTATATGTGAAGATATAACCGGTTTTTAAAAATAGGTTAAAACTAATATTATTAACTAGCAATTTAAAAAGTTAAAACTAAAAATAATGAGTTTTAAAAAGAATTAAAATACAATTTTCAAATGAATATTACGTTATAGGAATATTTTCTGAATATTTTAGAGCAAAAGCCAACCAGAAGAAATCACGGTTTTAAACCTTAATCTTAAAAAATCAACTTGCAAAAAAAAAAAAAAAAAAAAACAGTTTGAATAATTTTACCAAAAATCAATAATGGAACATGAACATATTTTTTTAACTTAATTCTTATGGTTTCAAAACACGTTATCTTGAGTTAAACTAAAGAACCATGAATTAATTTTTTCAGATTTATAATTAGTCCTTTTATATGTGAAGATATAACCGGTTTTTAAAAATAGGTTAAAACTAATATTATTAACTAGCAATTTAAAAAGTTAAAACTAAAAATAATGAGTTTTAAAAAGAATTAAAATACAATTTTCAAATGAATATTACGTTATAGGAATATTTTCTGAATATTTTAGAGCAAAAGCCAACCAGAAGAAATCACGGTTTTAAACCTTAATCTTAAAAAATCAACTTGCAAAAAAAAAAAAAAAAAAAGCCAAAATTAAAGAAAAGAATATTTTTTATTATTTAATTTCATAGAAGTAGGTTACAAACAAATAAAGACATGATAAACAAAATAAAAAGACGAATTAGCCAGCAAACTTTCTTCAACATTCTTAAATAAACGATTGATGTGTTTGTAGTTGCTAAGATAAACAATACTGTTAATATAGAATTTTTGCTAAATTTCTAAAAATAAACTCTTCTCTATGTTTATGAGATTGGAGAAGAACATTTTATTAAGTATAAATAAAGGCAAAATAATAAATAAAGTAAGAAATACTGGGGGAATAAATAAAAATAGTTGGAGTATAAATAAATACTTGAGAGTCGTCCACAAATTACGTCATGCAAATAAAATAACCTTTTTTGATCCCCTTCAATTTCTTCGTCACGACATTTTAACTCTATAGTAACAAATCTCATACGAATCATCTCAGAACCACTAATCCCTTTTCTTCCTAGAGCGTGACGCAATTTATTGACAACCCCTCAAACGATTTTAATCATTTTTGCATTAGACCACGTAAGCATTATAGATATAATACTTCTATAATACTTCCATGATTAGACTAATAAAACTTTTTTTCTAAATTTACTGCCGTGACAAACGTAATCAATGTATATATACAAACAAATCACGTAATTTGTATGCAATTTTAATACTTTCTTTTGCCGTGTTTCCCTTTCGTTTATTGCGCCTTCTTTAAATTTTCAGTTTTCCATTTTTTTACTTAATTTTAATGTAAACGATTCAGTAACATATTTTTATAATTATTTATGTTATAATATTTATTTATATTACTAAATTATCATATAAAAACTTAATTAGTTACGAATATTTAAATATTCGTAAGTAATTAAGTTTTTAACCCATTTTTAACTCTTTACATCTAAACAGAAATTAATTAATAAAAAATTACAACTTGTTGCTTTAAATTGACGTTAGTGGGTCACTATTTGGGAAAGTAAAAAAATTCAAAAAACTTCAATGCTCAATTTCTTCCAAAGCGTGTTTTAGTTTTGGGATTAAGGAAATACTTTCCTTTCATATCATCCCAGAAAAACTAAAGAATATTTCTTATGTTATAAAAATTTAGAAATTAAGGTTTTGATTAACAATTATTAAAAGAAAAAACATCTTAAAAGTTTTATAAATAATGTTATAAGTTTTATAATGAAATAGAAATAACGTAAACGACGTGAAGCAACTTTACGTAAAACTATAATATAGTAACTGCACAAAACATACAAATATAATACTTTATGTTTATAAAAAATAACAGCAGTAAAACATTTTAACAATGCAATATTGAAAAAATTCTTACAACATAAAAAATTTCCTTATAATTAAATATAAAAAATATAATTAAAGATAAAACCTTATAATTCTCATGTGACGATATGTTTTTGGGTTCATAAATAATCGAGCGCTTATCGTCATATCGCGTATCCTAACGTCTAACATCGACATTCATGACGTCTTAGTTTATGATAAAGTAATAGTATTAGTATTTTTATGTAATTAAAACAAAATGAATACTTACAATTCAATTGAAATATAAGCTATTAATTTTTGTTAAAAATTGTCCCATATTAAATTTTAATCTAACAAACAAATCCAACAAACAAGTCATATCTTTAAATAAATTTTGCAATACCTTTTATGATGCAATCACAAAATAAGAAGTGCATGCATAGTAAATTTTGCAAAGCTGCGAAAAAACTGCTTAAGAGTACTAATAAAAATAAACTCAAACCTCTTTATAAGCAACAGAGTATCCATCACTCCGTCAAGGACCGTTTTGCTTATGGGAAGTTTTTTTTATAGCTTTCATTATATGATCTCATTACGAGCTAAATAAAAGCAAATATATATTTTAAGGAATAATAATGTAACTTAATAAACATTTTCTCAAATTAATTTTATATTGTTTTGCAGACCATTTTTGGGAAATGTCATGATGAATATTTTTGAGGGAAATGTCATATAAAATATTTTTGAGATTCTTATTATGCATCAAGAATTTTAAATTTTGCTAAAAACTTAATAAACTATTTAAAAACAATTATTTTCAAATGTTTTTCTATTTTTTTCAGTTTTTAATCAAATTTTATTTTAAAATTAAGTCCATCATTTTTTGTCCGACTTTTTGTCTTAATCACACAAATAGAATAAAAATCTTAGTTTAATATATATTAATATACACCAATATACATTACTGCCTTTATAAATCATTGCAATATATCAAGACACTTTTTGGTCGACATAACTAAATTGTTTTCTTACTTGACTTTTTTTTAACAAAACAAATCAAACAAGCATACGATAAATTTGAAAATAATTTGATTAGTAAGAATTCTATTTTTATGCTAGTAAAAGTTGATTTAGTTACTTTTGCTTAGTTGCGATAAAGAAAAAACAAAGTTAATTAACTCAAATCATTTACCCAGTTAAAAGGAAGACCCCAGCTAACATACTTACGTTGGACCAACGTATGTAAATACAAAGCAAAGGCCAGTTTTTTTCTCCGATGCAAATACAAAATTGATCTAATATTAGTTTTATCGTATTTATATTAATAAAAAACTTAATAAGGACGTGATTTAAAATAGTTAGCAAGACTGCATTGGTCCAACGCGTTGGACCAATTTTTGCTTATTATATACGCTTATTATAATTTTTGTTTATTATATAAGTTGCAACGTATGTAAAAACATCGCAAAAATTGGTCATTTTTCTATTTTAAAGCCAATGTTTATCCAATGTATATGGGTCAACGTTGACAAAATGCATATAACCCAAAATTGGTCCAATGTATATGAATTAACATTGGATTATATGCATTGGATCAATTGTGTAAACGTAAAATATAACTTTGAATAAACTTAAAATACAACGTTCCAACAACGTAAAACACAACTTTACGACAACGTTAAATGCAACGTTCGGCCAACGTAATTTACAACGTTGAATCAATGTAAAATATTACGCAATGCTAACTTAAAATACTCCGTTGAGTCAACGTTGTTTTTTGGTTGTTGGCGACGTCGCATTTGTAATCAAAGTGATATAAAAACAACGTTGGCGGTCGATGTTGGGCCATCGCAACGCGCAACATTATCCTAACTTTTTATCAACGTATGTGTGCTAGCTGGGGCATTTGATATATTTAAAACATTTTTTTTTTAAATAAAAAACATTTTTATTTTGAAATTACTTTTGGGAAAAATAATTAAAACTAATAATAAAATAATAAATAAATAAAACTAAGTAAACAAAATAAAATGTATCGTATTCAAATTTGTTAATAAAACTAAATTTAAACGCGTTAAAAGCTCGTTAACGTTGCCAGTTCTTAAGAAAAAGCTAATTAACATTACATTCTTGAGAAAAAGCTCGTTAACATTACATTCTTGAGAAAAAGCTCGTTAAAGCATTCTTGAGAAAAATTAATAAAATAGTTTCCAAAATTAATTGAAAAAACGCAGGTCGAATCAAATTATTATTCTTTTAAATATAATTAGTTTGTGATGAGATACTTTGGTTTCACATAATGAAAGCTTTCGTTTTATCTAAAAAAAGGCTTGGCAAGCAAAACGGTCCTTGACGGCGTGCTACATGCTTTGTTGCTTATAAAGAGGTTCTAGTTTACTTTTATTAGTACTAGCGCAGTGTTTGCATAGCTATGCAAAATTTACAATGCATGCATTTCTAATTTTTTGATTTCACATTACGAAAAAGTATTGTAAAAGTTATTTTAAGACATTATTTATATTTTAGATTGACATTTAATATAAAAAAATTTTTAAAAAAATTATTAGCTTGTATTTCAATTAAATTGTAATTTTAATTACATAAAAATACTAATACTATTAGGGTTATGGTGAACGCGGGGTAACTCAGAACATGGTCAAAACAATATGATAGAAAAAGGTAATTGACAATTTCTTTTTACCTGCTGAGAGGGGTTCCATACTCAGTTCCAGACGTGTAATAGTATAGTGAAGCTGCGCTCGTTGTTCCCAATAACTTGATACTAACTTTTTCTGATAATTTCATCTAATTTTTTTTTTTTTTTGAGAAACCTTCCTGTTGTAGCTACTATGGATTCAAAACTACTCCTTTTATTGTTGTTGTTGCATAGTACCATAATCAAGGAGTTTTAAACACGTATTATATTTTGGGTATGTCAATACAACCTCAATAGATTAATTGTATTTCATTTGTTTGTGTCCGCGTGTAATAACGAACAATCTAATGGGGTAATTTCGAACGTCTAAAGTGCCATTGATAACAAACGGATGTCAGGCGGCCAAAACCTAAATGTTTCTTACTTTTGTCACATTTAATTTTAACAGATAAATTATTAGATAATTAATTTCATTTAACAGAGAATGTTTAAGAAAGAAATATTCCATTATTATTACTAGCTTGCCAATGAGAAATATTCTAGAGAAAAAGAAAAATAAGAAGAAAGAAGTAAAAAATACTTCTGATAAAAGTAAAAGAGAAAGAAGAACTTTAATCTATTAGAGGCTGATCGTGTACCACCATGTAATGAAAAAAATAGAGCCAGAGGTGAAACAGAAAATTCATCTTTAATTTGCTAAGAGAAGTATAAGGATCCATCCATAGAAGACTGGATTATGTGTCATAAATGCCAATCATTGGCGAAAGCATGTCCCGGTGTTTGTTTGTGATACTTATTTGTATTGATTTTTTAAAATTTCAATAAATGAAAAATTAAAATTAATTTTAAAAAAGTGTTTTTGTATCAAGTTGCGATAAAAAGTTTCATGATCTCCGGAGGGAAGACTGGATCATGAGTTACAATTGTAAGGCCTGGTCGAGGTAAGCATATCCTGAGGTTTTATCTTTGATTTCTGCACTTAATTCTTACAATTAGCATTTTGTTCGTTATAACACAATAGTATTTGCGATTATCCTAAGGTAATTTTGAAGTTACCCCACGTATGTAGGGTAATTCCGAACACCAATATTTTTATTTTGCCCTAAATTTTTATTTTATAATAAGACATATAAATAGCTTTTGGGAGTTTGTGACTAAATAGTTAGACTAAATGATAAGCAATAAATATGATCACCCGCTTAGGTGTTCGCCAATTCCCCACTCTCCCCTACTTTATCATCATTAAATGAAGACGTCATCAACAAGATCGTTAGAAATAGCAATAAACAATATATCAAGCAAACAGTATGCGTTCGATTGATTATGAACCCAAAAAGATATCATTCCATGAGAATTATAGGATTTTATCTGATATTTTTTATGTTGTAAGAATTTAACTTTCGATATTTCTTTGTTAAAATGTTTTACTGCTGTTATTTTTTATAACTATAAGCTATACATTGGTTATATTTCTGCTTCACGTAAATATGTAACGTTTTTTATATAATTTTTAAGTTCCTCTTTTTTGATAAGTTACAATTTATATTGACAAAAATGTTAAAGTAAAAGATCTATGAACTACTTTTAAATAAAAAGATACAATTTATTAATTATAAATGTATTATTATAAATAATTCATTCAATTAATTTTTTATGAATTTGAAAATATATATAAAAAAAAATGACTATAATGAATCATAGAAGTAATATTTATATAAAGTTTAAATGAAAATATGTTCATAAAAAAATAAAAATGTATATAAAATTTACGAAACATTTTTCTAAATATCCTAAAACGTTCGTGTTAAATATTCCATAAATATGTTGTTTACTTGATATCAGGTGACATTTTTTCATTGGTTTATTATCAACTTTTATCAAATATTTAGCAAAAACTAGCTTTAGGAAAGTAAAGTCTATTTGCAGCTTTATTTGGCGTCTGAAGGCGGTCTGGTCTAATATTATTGTAATACTGCAAATACAAAAAATTAGTAAAAAGGTTGTTTTAAAATTATTAATACCAATATTGATCAGAGTTTTTATAATTTAACATATATGTTAAATTATAACATATATATTAAATTATAAAATTATTAATAATATGTTCAGGTACGGACGGTATTACATATATATATATATATATATATATATATATATATATATATATATATATATATATATATATATATATATATATATATATATATATATATATATATATATATATATATATATATATATATATATATATATATATATATATATATATATATATATATATATATATATATATATATATATATATATATATATATATACATATTTCTGATAAGTCATTTTAATGAAACACGGGTTTATTACTTAACTAAGCTTTTCTGCATATGCATCAGACGCAAAGTTAAAAGTAAATTTAACTGCGGATGGTCAATATTATTTGAAAGGAATGGGGAGGGAAATTTTATTATTAATGCCTCAAACTTAAAATAGAACAGAAATTTATCGTGACTATTGTCACGTTACGTTACGATAGTGATAAATAAAGCACGTACAAAGCTTTTTTGTTGACATATTTTATTCGTAATTTTCTTTAATGTTACATTTTTCTTTGTATAATATTTTAAAAATATTTAAATAGTTAAAGATTTTCTTTGTTGATGAAGCAAATCGTGAACGAAATACCTTAACAACAATATAAACAAGTTTATTATTCTTAAACAATTAATTTTGATGCCAAACATTTATAAAAATAGAAATGTCAAACAATTAAGACGATTAGTTTTATCATCAAAATCAAAAACCCATTGACATATTACAAGTTTTTTTAATTTTTTATTTAAAATTTCATGGAGACAAAAATTGTTTACGCAAGTAAACATCTTCAAGGAGATAAAAAAAAAAAAAATAATAAAATAAAATAAACAAAAGCATTAGATTAATTAAAAAAAAAAAACTATTTACCTAACTAATTGCTTTAAATTAATTTTTCGACAATTTTTCATTTTAAAAACAAGAAAGACGAAAAATGAAGAATACATCTGGTTTTTGTTTTTATCTACTTTTAGCGAGTTGTGGCATTAAAGTTGTTGTTAGCTGTATGTGCATGCCTATTCATCCACAGAGTGTTTTCTGTAAAACAGAATTCAGTAAGTTTTTTTTGCTATTCAAAAATATTTCAATTTCTAAAGCTTTATTTTATTTATACAATAAAATTTTTGTTTTATATATAGGAAAACATAAACTAGGGGAAATTTGTATTCTAAAATCTTAAAAAGAAACCAACAGCTTTTATACATACTCCAAAAAATGTCGTAGAAACGTCCGTTGGACGTCACAAGTCAATTGGACGTCCTTAAGAGGTTTAGCAAACATTCTGTGCTTGCTGGGATATTCTCTATTTTTATTTAACAATATAGTTTTTCTTTAACGATATAACTACTTTGTAATACAATCTGCCTATTTTTAATATAAAAGTTTTCTAGTCAATTAAAAGAGTATTAATTAAGTATTTTAAAAGATGACCTTTCACACGTGCTAAAAAAAGTACCTTAGACTAATAGGCATGAAGTAGCCAAAAGGGTTGCTCTTGGGCACCCATTTGATTATTTTCTGAAAACGTTTGATTATTTTCATCAAACACATTATTTTCATGTAACTTATTTTCTGAATCACTTACATATTTGCTTTGTACTGATTTAATGCAATTTATAATGACATTGTGAAAAATAACATTAGATCTATGGACTGCAATAACAATCGTACTATCTTTATTGACAGCTACCTTTAATAGTTATTCGCCATATTTTTATTTATTTTTAGATTAATAAAAAATTCTTATAAACAAAAAATGAGCTACTGTTCCGGTATTATAACTAAACATGCGTATCTTATTGAATGTTGATTAACTTCATTTATTATATCTTCTGAAAAATGATTGAATACTATTTAAGTTAACATCTTAGGCCGGGTGAATAAAAAAAGCAATTGCTCACAAATAATTGCTTTGAGTAAAAGATAAAATGCTCAAAGCAAAAGCACTTGCTCGGTGTAGTTAAGGCGATTTACAAATTATTCGAATTCTTTTATTTGGAATTAACATGGTTTTATCAGTGTATTATGTCTAAGCTAGAGCTTTAAATGATATAATTTTTTTTGCTTCAGGTTTTTTTAATATTTAAAGAAATTTTTCTTTTTTATAAATATTTTTCAAAACCTCTTTACTACCCGTAATAATGAATCTAAAGAACACCATTTTGGAGTCTTTAGATCAATTCCGCTCATCGGCGTTAACATGAATTTAGTTAAAATCTTTTTAAAATGTTCTTTAATTTACTACTGATCCTAGTTCTGATCGGTTCTGAAGTGTATTAACTATAAATAATTGTCAAAACACAACATTTCTATCAATTTTCACAAAAATTACTAGAATTCCGACCAGGAAAGAGTTTATAATTAAGAGAAATTGCCAATAAACGATCAGAACAGATCATATTGTTAAACGATCAGAAGAGATCATTGTTAAATTGTTAAACTATGTTCATTTCACCTAAAAAACGTATTCATTTAAAATCTTATTAAAATTTGGACAAGCAATTGTGATTTTAAGAAGATTTTTTTTTTTTTTTAAAAAAAATTTTTATTCACGTAATTTGAGCATTTCTCCAAAAACTCGGAGTAAAAGCAATTGCTCATTTTTACTTACCAGGCCTCATACATCATTTTTACTTACCAGGCCTCATACATCATTCAAATAATGAGTTACTGAACTATAATAAGTTAACAAATGAGGTAAAGAAAAAAATTATTAATTAATTTAATCAAAATTTTTCAAAGATATCAAAACCAGAAATACCAGCAAAGATTTTTATTAACGACTCTCGCTCAAAAAACACAAGCGGAGCATAAAATTTTTTTATTTTTTTCAAAGAGCACTCAAAGTTTTTTTTTAAATCTAAAAAATGATCTCAACTTTCATATTCAAGACGATAAATATCATGCAATTACAGAAAACCAACTTCTACTTACTTTGAAAAAGAGTATCCTTTTTTTCTTTTTTTTAAAAATATAACTTACATCAAGTAATTCTAGTCAAAAACAATACTATATATAGTATTATATATAATACATATTATTTATATCCAATTACACTATAATACATATTATACTGTAATTAGCTCATTCCCGCTAATTTCAAAAACACGTTCACTTAAATACCGAAGGATAGAGTTCTAAAATTGAAATAAATAGAGCGCAAATCATTATGGGGTTTTTATTTTTAGTTTTATTTAGGGGCCCCAAGAAGTCCTTATGGTTTTATCAAAGAGCACAGCGGATGAGCATTTAATTGGAAGTTCACGCCTCCTTCCTAACCGATGTCGCAAAACTTGCCCGGATGTGGGATTGGAACCTCGGATCCATTGTTTCTGAGGCTAGTGCCACTACCACTGCACAACGCTCTTTTTACATGCATTTATATGCATACAAAATTACGTTGTGATTTCACCGATTTTCTACGTTATTGTACATCAAGCAAATACTGCCTTTTATAAGTAACATGTTATCTTTTAAAAAACAATATTTGAAACCAATGTTTAATTAAATCCCATTTAGAATGCAATAATCTTAATCTAGTGTAATAATCTTAATGATTACGCACTTTATTATTTTTATTATTTGTTATTATTTTATTTTAAGTTTATTTTTTGTTCCTTAATATTACAAATTCGTTACCACATAATAAAGATTCGTTATCAGTGAATATATAAATAAAAACAAAATATTGCAAAGTGGTTTTACAAAAATAATAAATTCACTCTAACACTGTAAAAAGAACGAGGAAAACTTGCAGAAGACCAAATGGTCTTATCATCAAGAACCGCTTTACATTGCCGTAAATATAAAAACATATTCATAAATTTTTTACATAAAATCATTAATTTCAAATGGTATTAAAATGTCAGATAACAAGTATACAAATATATTTTTACAAAAATCGTAAAATCGTAAAATCGCAATATTGAAAATATATTTATATTAAATAAAAAAGAAAATATTTATAAATAAATTTAAAAAAAAACACTAACTAAATTTTTATACTTTAAAATACTCTTTTTAATAGTTTTTTTTAAAGCAATTTAAGTTTTTTAAATCAATATTATTTAAATTAATTAGTAAAAACTTATTCCAGATATGAGGTGCACGATAAGTCATTTTGAATTGTTCAAGCTTATTTTTGCATGTAGGCTCTAACAGAGTACTATTTGTACGCAATAAATATTTGTACTCTGGTTTTTGTTTATAAAGACTATAGAAAATTGAAGGACTTTTTTGCATTTTGCTTTTATACATAAGACTTAGAACATTATATACATAAAGTTCAAACAATGTAAATAAAGACATTTGTTCAAAAAGAGGTTTAGAGTGTTCTGTTTTATTTTTAAAATTAATCACATGTATAGCATGCTTCTGTTTACGATAAAGTGGTTCTAGTTTCGTTTTATAGGTACTACCCCAAGCTATATTTCCGTAGTTTAGGTAACTTTGAACAAAACTATAGTAGATTTGTTTGAGTAGTGGTTTTTTTAATAAATAACGTGACTGATATATTATTTCTATGCTTTTGGATATTTTACTACCTATATAAGCGATATGTTTATTCCAATTTAGATTTTCGTTCATTAATAAGTCTTTAAATTATATATATTATATAAATTATTAATAAGTCTTTAAATTATATAATTTTTTTTTTAATTTGTTTTAGTAATCAAAGCAAGGATTCTTTCAAAAGAAATTATAAAAGTCAATTACACTGACGAAAACCTTCTAAACTTGGACATTCTTTTTTCTCATCATATTGTTTATAAAATACTGATCAAGTCTGTGCTGAAAAATGCAAAATCATCATATCAATTTAACTTGCAACAACTTCATTCCCTATATACACCTGCAGTAGAAAGCAGTTGTGGAATTCAACTTGAAATCGGAAAACCTTATTTGCTGACGGGAAAGTTTGACAACACCAAACTTCAAATGAACTTTTGCGATTTTAATATGAAATGGCACCATTTAACAACTGAAATAATTGACGGTATTAGTGGAAAGTATGATTGCGCTTGTCAGATTACAACCTGTATGAATGGTTATTGTGAAAAAAAAAATTCATGCAAATGGAACATCTCTTGGGATAAACCTTTAGAAGACTGTGTATATAAACATTTAACTTGCGGAAAGTCTAACGAAAAATGCCGATGGAACAAAAATTCATCTTATAAACAATGTTTATTGGAAGAAAAATATTTCTTATCATTTCCTTAGAAAAACTAAATGAAGTGGAAAACTAACAGATCTTACTTTATAAATTCGAAGTTAAATTGACATTACTTCTTTTACCTCAAAATGTTACTTAAAAAATTATTTAAATTAATAAAATAAAATTTGCAATTTCAAATATTATTTGAAATTTCAAAACTATATGATGAAAATTATATGATTGCATGACGAGATTATTATTAAATTTGATTTACACATATAAGCATTTGTATATATATATATATATATATATATATATATATATATATTTATATATATATATATATATATATATATATATATATATATATATATATATATATATATATATATATATATATATATATATATATATATATATATATATATGTATATATATATATATATATACATATATATATATATATATATATATATATATATATATATATATATATATATATATATATATATATATATATATATATATATATATATATATATATATATATATATATAAATATATACAGTACTGTGAATATGTTTTAGATCACTTACATTTTCTCAAAAAATCCAAGAGAATTCTTCCTTAATATTTAAGTTTCGAATTCTATATTATAAAATTATTAAAACACATATATTTCACACAAAATATGGAACAATAACAAACATTTTAATGTCACACTTCATAAAAAAACCCTTAATATTTACTATGTCTTCCTTTTGCCTTAATCACAGCCGATATTCGCCGGGAAATAGATTCATACAAATTTGTTATAAAATCCTGCGGTATATTGTGCCATTCTCTTTGAAGTATTTGAAAACATTCTTCAGCATTTCGGGGAGCATGTTTGACCTTTTTCCTGTCTAAGTAATCCCAAATATGCTCGATTATATTCAAATCTGGACTCTGGGGAGGCCAGTTCATTTCCAGTATTCCTTCTTCTGCCATTTCATTTAAATAATTTTTTGCCACTCGGGAACAATGTTTTGGGTCATTGTCCTGCTGCAGAATAAAATTATGGCCCATTAGTCTCATTCCGGATGGTTATGTGGATATTCCTCATTAGAATATCCACATAACGTTCCCCGGTGAGTCTTCCCTCTATTTTGATTAGATCACCTACCCCAGATGAAGATAAACAGCCCCAAACTTGTAAAGATCCTCCTCCATGTTTAATAGTAGGGTTTAAACACTCGGGCTGATAGACTTCTTCTATTCATCTTCGAACATATTGACGTCTTTTCGTTCCAAAAATTTCAAATTTGGACTCACCAGTGTACAGAACCCGATTAAACAAATCCTGGGTCCAATCTTTGTGTTGTTTTGCATATTTAAGTCGTTTTTCTCTATTGCCACGCCGTAATAAAAGTTTTCGAATAGCAACGCAGCCTCGTAATCCTGATTTGAGTCTGTGTCGTCGAATACAAGAAGAGCTAACATTTTTCCCAGTTGCTGTATTAATGTCCTTTGCCAATTCGGTGGATGTTTTTTTCCTGTTTCTTAAAGAAAGGGTTTTTAAATATTTATCGTCATCTTTTGTTAGCTTAGGAGGTCTGCCACTTTTCTTTCTATTTCCAAGGGAGCCAGTTTCTCTAAACTTTTTAATGGTTTCTCTATTAGCAGTCATCGAATATCCTGTTTTGGAAGAAATTTGGCGCTGCGAATAACCTTCTTTATTTTACCCATAGCAACACTTAATTAATCTAAAAATGTAAACTAATAACTTTATTTAATTACTTTTAACTATTTGCTTAACTGTATTCATAAAAAATAACAACTTTTTAAAAAAAGTACTAAAACCGATCATTATTGTATTAAATTCACGCTATGACTACATTTTATACTGTTAAAAACTTAAATGAATGAATATGAACCTGAACCAGTAAGAAAAAAATCGAAAATGTTATTTTTATGTATTATTTAGATGAACGTTTGGTCTGCAGTTATTATGACGATTATCGTTTTAATAAATAAACGAACACATCCCTTATGTTCCTCATAATTATTTGTTTATTTATTCAAGATAATATATTCTTTCAACCTTTCTCAAATATTACTCAACTTAAGTATGCTTAAAAAAAAAAAATAGACAAGAAAAAAATTGAAAATACAACTAATTATATAAGTGGTCTAAAACATATTCGCAGTACTGTATATTGAATACGATCTTTTCATGAATCTCGTAACAATGTCAAATATGATAATAAAGAATCAAATTAACCAATAAAAATAAATCAACATAAACTATATATAACTGTGCATTTAAAATATAAATATACTGGATAAAATATATGAAACAAAAAAAAAATAACTTAATAAAAACAAAACAAAAAAATTTTTTTGCTGAAATTTTTTTTTAATTTTGTTTGAAAGAAGTTAAAGTCAAAGACAAATCAAAATTAGGCAAAACTATTTTATTCTATAAAAAGGATCACGGTAACAAATAAAAAGTTGTTCAAACTTAGTATGGCAGAAAGGTTCTTTGAGATATTTTTACGATGACTCTGTTTTTATAAGGATTTAAAAATACATTAAGAGATAAATGATTTTTATATTTAAATATAAAACATAAAATATTATAAATATTATAAATTTAGTTCGTATACATTTAAGGTTTTCATTTCTCACAGAACTGGTTTTTAATTTAAAAACGATTTACAAAATTAATTAAGCGAGCGTATTTCTGATGCTGATAATTAAGCAAGCGTATTTCTGATGCTGATAAGGATATATAATTTTAGTTTTGTTTATGTTCAATGCAACCAAGGGCTTACAAATACTGGCTGTAACACATTTATAAACATTTTCCTTAAACAATAACCACTTTCCATTTACAGAAAAAGAAATAAAGATTAAATACTTGAATATATGAATCTATATACTTGAAATACATTTGCTTGGTGCATTATCCAATATTCTAAATCTTTAAGTTCTGTGAATGGCAGAATCAATATTTTCTCTTTAGCGGTGCAAAATTTTCAACTTTTTTTTATATACGTATAAGAATTTACATTTTAATGTACATTATAATAATTTGTTAATTTCATTGTTTTAATTTTGTAGTTTTTACAGTGAAAACATGTTTAAAATATATATTGTTTATTAAAAATAAATATTGTTTGAATTAACATTTAAAGAAAATCCAGATTTGAAAATATATGTTATCCATAGTGTTGCGACCAAAACTAAAAATTGTAACTAACTAAACTAAAAATACCGTAACTAAAATTAGTCGACTAACTTTTTAGTTAACTAAAATTACCAGACTAACTTTTCAGCTAACTAAAATTACCCGACTAATTTTTTAGTTAACTAAAATTACCCGACTAATTTTTTAGTTAACTAAAATTACTTGACTAACTTTTTAGCTAACTAAAATTACCCGACTAACTTTTTAGTCTAACTAAAATTAGCCGACTAACTTTTTAGTTAACTAAAATTAGCCGATTAACTTTTTACTTAACTAAAATTAGCCGACTAACTTTTTAGTTAACTAAAATTAACCGACTAAGTTTTTAGTTAACTAAATATACCCGACTTTGTTTTTAGCCTAACTAAAGAAATTTATAAATATATAATATAAATAATTTGGGTTCATGATACCATTTTTATTAGAATTTTTGAATAAGATTGCGAATGCATAATCATTTTACCGAATAATACCGCAAAAATAAAAAAGTATCAAAGTAATTATCTTTCAATTTTCAGTGCTAAAGTTTTAGTATCAGTGTATCAAGATACTTCAAGAAAATATTATAAACAAGATACTTCAAGAAAATATTTTATAAAAAATCCAAAAAGTAAACATGGTAAAACACAAATATCCTTAGAATTGAATAAGCTACTAAGGCCAGTGCAAAGGGGTGTAGGGATGGGTTGGTTGGTTTTGTGTGTGGCATCTCATCAATGAACTTTTAGCTCATTTAGTAAGCTTATTTGACTCTTTTAGATAAGTCTGAAAATGTAGATTTTCAGCACTCTCTACGTGTTACCTACTTGTGTCGGCCCTGTAAGCTACAGTATATTACAATAATTCAGTTTTATTATGTGCCACTTTTTTGGATCCAAATTATAAAAGTTTTGAATTCTTTGAAAAGTACGAGAAAAAAAAATTTTTTTAATGCGTTATAGAATTTTTGTCGGAATTTCATTGGACAAAAAAAGTTTGTGATATAATTCCAGTTAAAAACTTATTAACTGGAATTATATCACAAACATTTTGCTCATTTAGTGACAATTTTATATAACCACTAATTTCTTTTTTAAAATCTAAACTTATTATTTTGTCACCATCGTTTCCGGAATCATCATCTTTAATGTAAAATGATAAAATAATTTTTTTGATTTGATTGTCACCTTTTTAATAAAAAGGTGACAATCAAATCAAAAATTTGATATGCAAACTTATACTTACATATGCAAAGCGAAACAGAATAACAACTGAATGTTTTCAAATATTGATGTTTTTGTAGGAAAATTTTTCAAGTAATTAAAATATCATAAACAATTTCCTGGTTTTAAAAGCGACCGCAGTTAATAAAATGTTTTCGTTATTTAACAGTTAAGTATAATTTAATACATTTTATACACTATTCAACAGCTTATATTGCGGATATTGCATTCTAAAATGCAAATAATTTAAATTTTACCAGTACCGCCAACCGACGAACAACTATACTCTGAAAGCAATAAATATATTCATAATAACTTATTTAATGATTAACTTTTGGGTTCATGTCAATACTTTCGCCTGCCTAACTGTAGTGTTTGTGGGTTATAATAGTCGTTAGGAGAGGTTGATATTTGAACGGGTGGGGAGGGGGAGTCATAGATTTGTTGTGAAAATTAGAGATTGAATCTATTCCTATAATATGACAGGGGACAGAGCTGTACTGAAAAACAAAGACGTAGGGGGAGGGGGTGCAAATGAAATAAGTTTTTTTACCATAAAAATTTCACCAAAGTATGGCTTTTTTTTTATTTAAAAGTCAAGTTGGAGTTTTAACTGACCGGGTATCAAATTTTCCAAATTATCGACAAAACCGAAAACGGAAAGTTATAACCCTGGAAAGGTGCACATACA